ACACATAATTAAAATTATTAGGAATCACTGTGAATAACACACACGTGGGAGTGTCCAAATCATTAAAGAAAAGGTCAGCATTGTTAATTCATTTAATCCTGAGTCATTTAATCCTAACTGATTCAATATATGAACAGAAATCTCTCTGCCAAGAATCACCAAGGATTTCTCTGTATTTTAAAGAACATTTGCATTAGTATCAGCAAGAGTTGAACTGATATGAATAAAAAAACTACCAACCCAAAGAATCAACCACACTTTAATAAAAATATAATAATTTTCCTTCTTGATATAACTCAGTAACTCATATTAGCTTTTACTACTATTCCTTCCCTTACTCCTACCAAACACTTTGTGACTGCACTTCCTGGGCTTTGTTATGTTAAGATTTGCTGTAAAAGGATGATGTGTTTATCTTTACATGAGCACCCTGACACAGATAAACAGACATTTGGACACTTTTCTGTATGGAAGAGTAGAATCCTTCTGCAGTTTATCACTAATAGGGGACCCATTATTGCTGAATTTACTTCCAAAACACTTAGATATTATTTAAAAGGAGAGGAAAAAATGACCAATACAACAAGATATTTGCATTTAAATTTTGAAGGTGAGCACCTTCAAATATTAAAACCTTATCTTACTCTAGGGAACTGTACTTTTGAATAGGAAAGTGCTGTAGTTGTGACCATACATATATGCAAAAGCCCTTCAGATAAGGGACACCTATCTACAGTTGTAGTTCTGAGCATCCTGCAGAAGTGCTAGTTAAATAATTCACCTCAAAAGGAAGGCTGTCAGTCAAAGCTATTGACTAATGATGAGGGAGGCGTATTTTAAACTTGTCTGTCCTTAGAGAGAGATGAAAAGGTCCTCCTGTATGCAAAAAAGAAGCACTTTATGGACAAGTGTTTCAAAATGATCAGATTAAAGACAGGCTCTTAAAACTATACTCAGTCATCTAAAAAGGAGAACTGGGTTTTATAAGTGAAAAACACCAGATAGAAGTCAAATGGAGCTTGCTCCTGTACTTACTTTTATATTATCTGGATATGACAATGTCCTAGCTACAAAAAAGTTTCTTATTGCTCCTAGATTTTTCAGTGGACAATTTAATGGAAAAGTAAACTGCTGAAATTTGGTTGGTTGTTGATTCACCTCTTGAGAATGGTAGTTTTCAGATGGGAATTATTTTACCTTCTATATGTTATTTTCCCTGTATCTTTTACAAATAGCTCAAAGGCCCTACTACTAAGCTACCAGGCTGATTACAATTTGAAACATTAAAGAAATGTAATATAGTACCTTTAAGTGCCAGGAGTCATAGGCACAGTTCCCAATGCTCATTGAAACCAGAATTCAGATCTTTGAAGATTTGCTCGTAAATATTCTAACAGCACCACAAATTGTTAACTGTGGGTATTTTGAATAGAAATTTAAAAAAATGGTGATTTTTTTTTTTGGCCAGATTACCAGGGTTGTGTGAAGCTTCAGTCGCTGATTAGATTCAGTGGAGATTTGGCCTGATTCAGTGGCCGAATATCTGAACAGAATCAGGAGACCCTTTAAAATCTCCAATTCGAATCAGAACCCTCTGAATTGATTTGGAGAGATTTGGAAAGATTTGGCGATTCGGACATAGACGCAGCTTTAAATGTTTTTTTTTTTACATAGCTCTAGGTAGCAGGTGGCACGTGAATGCTGTGATGCTGGGGTGCATGGAGTGTCCTACGGAAGTGTTGGGGGCTCCCCAATGCGCTTGGCAGCAGACCTGGAAATGGAACAGAAACACTTCTGGTTCACTTCCGGGTCCTCTGGGGACCACGCAGGGGGCCCCCCCCGCACTCCCCTGGTTCAGCAACTGGTGCTTCCTGGGTGTGGAGGGGCACCCAGGGTCCCCCTGTAGCCAATTGCTGAGCTGGGGGGGGCTCCCCCTGCATGCTCCCCAGCAGTCCTAGAAGTGGATCAGAAGTACTCGAGGTACCTCAAGGTATGTACAAAAGACATTTAAAGCTGTGTCTACAGCCAAATTGCTGATTCTCCGATTCAGCATCAAATCTTCAGATTCAGATTTGGCCAAACTGAATTGGGGACAGTGATCCAAATTAATGAATCGAATTACTGTCCCCTATTTGGGCCAAATCTGAATCCGAATCAAATAGGGCCCGTTTCACACACCCTTACATGACTGTATTTTACATGACTGTACCCCTTATGACTGTATTTTATAGGTACAGTTAAACTAGTAGGAAACAAAATGTCAGTAACAAATCAAGGGTCAGAATTTGGCATAGGGTAGGCCAGTGCCTCTTCTTTAGAAATAATAATCCATAGTGACAAGTGTAAATTAAATTAGAATCTGTTATCAACATGTTTGTACCTGAGCAGTAAAGATTTAGAAAGCAACTGTTAACACTCAGATTGCTTGGTATATACATTTTTTACAAACAGTGAGAATGCCTAAAGCAATTCATGATACTACCCATTTAATGCCTTCAAAAAAGAATGGTGTCAGTAGAATTAAAATACATCAAATGCAAAATGAGACAAAACCTCAGAAATATTATACATATTAGGAAAGTTCTCTCTAGCAAATCAACACTGGAAGCACAGAACCAGATTCTCACATTCCATCATGTGATACCATTTCAGATGTATATAAAATATTACTTTTCTGATAAGGCAAGACTTTATGCCTCATTGTCAAGATGTAAATGATGACATAGACGCTAGTGAGCAGAGGACAGGGCCAATAGATAATTTTATATTTTAACTTAGGTTAGGTTTAATGCTTTCCTTTTTTCTCCATTATGCATGCTAATATTCAGAGTAAGAGATTTATGGACAGGTTCAATAGTAAAACCAAAGAAAGGCCTAAAGCATGCTTCTTTTCCACCAGGCATTATCAAATATTTAAAGAGGCTTCAACATGCCCAGTGCCATAAAGTCATCCCCATTTTGGCATGTGTACTTTTTATGTGTATATATCCATAATTCATCTTCTGCATATGGCAAAGTGTTGAATTCTTTGTAAGCAATGTATGTTTGTACAAATCACCCACTTAAGACACAGTATGCACACTGGTGTTGTGTGGACAAGTCCTATTTGTTCATGTGGAAACTTGGCTTTGAAGACATGTCCATGTCAAAACTTACATGCCAAAGATTATATGCACAGCCTTGGAAGCTGCTTTGGAAAAATTATCCTTAAAAATTCATGTGCAAGCTAAAGAGAAGACAAAATAAATTACATGTCCCTTTAGTACTGCTCCAGTTGTACTGATGTATTATAATGCCAACTAAAAAGAAGGAATAACAAACAATACAGTGCAATATATTATTTGTTACTTGTGAGGCTTCATATCTCTAAGGAAAAATGTGTAAAGATACACAGAATATTTTTTACTATTCAAAAGGAATTTATTTATCACCAAAAAGAAAATGTTTTGATGTAATACTGAAAAACCCAGTGTGTCCTGCACTTGGAAAGGAAAAGTGTCTTACTTTAAATACTAAAAAAATGAATATATGATGTTTATTGTGCAGTTAATAATAATTCACGATGAAAAGAACCACCATCACATCTGCTTCCTCTGTCACTGTAGTTTGTTATTGGGGTTACTTTTCTTGAGTAAATAATGAATCTAGTTCATAGTGGATAAAAAATGTCATATTTAAAATGAACATTAAGCAATGAGTGAGATGCTAATAAGCAGCAGTGACTGAAAGGAGAAGAAAAGAAAATGTTCAAAAGCATAATTATTTAAAGAATATAATTTCCTTTAATTGACTGTTTAAAAAATCTACTTCTCCCTAACTCAGCTGCAGAGTTAAAAAAAAAGTAAAGGTTTTTCATTTAGTTTTTATTTTACTCATATTTAAAACCATTAGGAATTTGCCTTACTCCTCAGAAGCAGGAGACAGTAATGTCATAAACCAGGTAAGGAAAATGTTTTTTTTTTTTAATTCCATTCTCCTTAGCTGTAGCTTGGAAGGAACTGCTCTAACCTTAAAGGATGTTTATAGCCAAAAGAGTTTATGTGAGATCACCTCTTGTGTCTTCATTATTTTGAAGCAAGGGCTGTCATGCAAATGAGCTACAAAAAAAAGAGAAACTACTAATGTGAGTCTAGCACAAACAAACTGTAACTGCTTGCCATTTCTATCACGCTTGTTCTTGGATTTGCTTGTCTCTTGCTTGCAGATGTAGCAGTTTTATTTTTTTCCTGCAATAATGTCACACAATAGCATTTTGACAGGAAAAAGAAGAATGTCAAGGGGACATAACAGGAAACAGAAGCTATGGGAATGAAATTTTGGTATCTAAAACCTGGACAGTGTCCCTATTAAAAAATATTTAGCTGTGCTACCTCTGATTGAGTCTTATTGCTTGTATATATGTCTGCAGAAAATCTGCTTGTCCTGTTCTTATTAACAAAGGACATAACGATATATAGCTATAGATATAGCTATAGATATACATTGTCAAGAACTTCTGTTGATAGCATGAGCATATTCATTTTATTCACAAGTAGGTTAGTTAGGTTAATTGCATTCTTATGATGAAGTGCACTGATTTTTTTAAAGCATTTTCTTTGCTCATTGAAATATTGCATTTATCAATAAGTGCTTTTCTGTTTGAAAAGTATAAATTGTCAAGAGATATGATTTTGACCCATGAACAGCTTTACGTGCATGGAGCTCATCTTTCCATCACTAATGCGAGTCATCTGTATACAGGGAAAGGTTCTACGCCCCTTACTCATATAATAGCGCAACTGAAATTCAAAGAACTATTCATATACATGAAGTGACTAGCATTTGGCCCACAGTGCATGAGGCATGATAAATTAAAATGCATTGCACAGTGTATCTCATATTCTGTTGTAGTACTTTCTTTAATATAGAGTTAAATATGTGTTGCAAAGCTGTCTCAGGTGCAAACCTTAGTATGCATTAAACATCACAATTCAAGACTGGTCAGCTGACAGCCAGAATACCTGGGTTTGGGAATAGATTCTGGTTTCTTGGCTCTGGGAGAGAGTATGCTGAGCGTGCCATGACCCAGAATGATGGGTGGGTGAAAATCCTCTGTCCTCAGCCACTCTGAAGCCTGGGACCGCCCGCTGCCATAAATCAATCAATCAATCAATCATTTATTTAATCAGGTACCTGTATTTTCACAGTGATACAGAAATGGGCTCTAGACATTGTCTTCTCTATAAAAGCTGTTCCAGTTTTAAATCCCATACAGACATGAGTTGCCTTAGGCCTATTCATACCTGTTCTGCAAGGGTATCAGTGACCTCAGTTCAAAACTTCCTCAACCCTGCACATAGCTGAAGTCCCAGTTAAAGCATGATACAACAAAACATTTATGTTCATGAGTAACTGAAATATATGAAGTCCCATCAAAGTCAAATGCTTCTTGTGATAGGGCTATTTATGTACTTGATTGGGATTTGGGTGTTTAATGGAGGGCTTAACAATGCAAGGACCCTGATACTGGAATGAATTTCATCTAAAGAGAAGACATCTCTCAAGAATATATGCCTGACTGTGGCCTGACTAGAAGGAAATCCAAATGGTAAATGTTCCAGGCAACATGAAAGAAGGATGCAATTAGTATTTCATGTAGAAGAATAGCTTTATTTTTCTTAAAACATAACTTTAGATTTTAAAACCTTTTGCTTAGAATTTTGAAGTTTCTCTCTGGCAATTTTCATGGAACATTTATCAATAAAGGACTTATTTCAGAGTAATGAGTTTATGTTTGCATTATTCTGAAAGTCATATGGAAAGGGAACCCTTCCCTAGACCCTGGCTTAACTACTTTTTTAAAAACTTCAGGCAGTTTTTTAAACTTTGTACAGCCAGTGACAGACAAGGCCATCCTTAGAGTGACAGCTCCAGCTTCATTAATGCTGTCGCATATTTTCTCTATTGTGTGCTGGCACTGTACGTGGTGAAGGACAATCAACTTTAATAGCCTCTGAGCTTTCAAATGCATATAGTGTCTGTATTTTTATTATTAAACTATGTGAAAGGGACAAACATTTGTACTAGCCCATACAAGGAAGACATACAAGACAATGAATGAAAAAGGTATATTACTAAGAATTGATCATGATTCCACTAATTTTTCAGAGACATAATGCATGAGAATATAAAGAATATAACAGAAATTTTGCTTGAGCCTAAGTGCTAGGTTAAAGTTATCTAATTAACAAAAGCCCTGGTCTTTGTGACAGTTTCCCTAGCTCTTTAAATCGTGTCTACTTTATGCTATTTACAGTTAGTTTTTACCAAATAAATGATCTTTCAAGCTTTTTTATTTAGAGTTTTTAGATTATTTTTATCTGCTAACTTCCTTATGTGACCCAACAAGTTACTCTTATGTAAGAGGAGGTGGTTATCTTCTTGAATTCTGAGGTAATAAGGTCTACAATCCAACCTGGGACTAATTAGAACCTGTTCTTTCTTGATCTCTTCTTGCCGTGGCTAAGCTGTCAAAAGTGTCTACTCATTTTTGCAGGCCCAAAACCATATTCTGGTTGTTGGAGATACCAAGCAATTGAGGTGCTACTGAATTCAATCAATTGAAGGTACAATCTTAGAATCTTAATGTTGCAATTGACAACAAAGATCATCTAGTCCAATCCCCTGCACTAATTCAGAATGAACTATTCCTATGCCATTCCAGACATGTGCCTATCCAACCTCTTCTTGAAAAATTAATTTGTGGAGATAACACATCATCTCTGGGCAGCTTCCCCCTCCATTCTAGTCTTCTGACATTAAAGAATTATTTTCTAAGATTTAATATATGTCTACTTGCCACCATTTAAACACATTGCTTTATGTGTTGCTCCGTATCACAAGGGACAACAGTTATACTTCTTTTTCTTTATGAAAGCTTTTCAAAATATTTGGAAACTACTATGATATAACCTCTTAATCTCCTTTTTGTCAAACCAAACACACTTAGCTCTCCCAACCTTTCCTATTGTGGCATGCATTCCAGCCACTGTATCATTTCATTTTTGAAAAGGAAGCTACAAGTGTTTCAGTCAAGGCACTACAAAGCTTATGCAACCAAAACTAATATACATTTTTGAAAATGTAGACCTTACTATACAAAACAGAAATGTATGCAAATATCAAGGCTTTGGAGTCCTTCTCTGGGGAAAGAATATTTTTCTCCTGATTATGATGAGAATTTTTAGCTGCTGAGAATTAGGTATATTCTTAAAGTATAACAACATGGATTCCTACAAACTCCTTTTATACAGGACTGGAAGGACCTTGCAAGTTCATCTAGTCTAGCCCCCTATGCAAGGCAGAATCATCCCTGACTAAACTATCCCATCCAAGTGTTTAACTGGCTCTTGAAACTTTCCAAGGATGAAGATTCCATAATTTCCTTAGGTAGCCCATTCCAATGCTGGACAACCCTCACAGTCAGAAAGTTGCTTCTATCTCCAACCTAAATTTCCTATCCCTCAACCTGAGGACACTGTTCCTACTCCTGTCTCCTACAACCACAGAGAAAAGCCCATCTCCATCCTCTCTATCATTACTAGGGCTATGTGAAGCTTCGGTCCCTGATTCGATTTGGTGGAGATGCAGCCCGATTTGGTGGCCAAATCTACAAATCTGAATTGAATCAGGAGATCCTTTAATATCTCTGAGTTGAATTGGAACCCTCCGAATCGATTTGGAGATTCAGAAAGATTCAGCAATTCAGATATAGATGCAGCTTTTAATGTTTTTTCTACATACCTCAAGGTACAAGGCAGCTCATGAATGCTGCAGTGGTGGGACAGATGGAGTGTCCCACAGAAGCATGGGGGGGTCCCCAGCTCACTTGGCAGTAGGCCCAGAAGTGGACCAGAAGCACTTCTGGTCCATTTTCGGGCCCCCTAGGGAGTGTGCTGGGCCCCCCTCCTGCACCCCTGTGGCTCAGCGACTGGTGCCTCTTGGGTCTGGGCGGCACCCAGGGTTCCCCCGCAGCCAATCACTGAGCCAGAGGGACATGGGGGTGGGGGGGCCCTGAGCACTCCCCAGCAGACCTAGAAGCAGAGCGGGAGTACTTCCAGTCCACTTCCGGGTTCGCTGCTGAGCATGTGGGAGCTCCCCCGCTTCGTGCTCCTGTGGGACACTCCATCCACCCCAGCATCACAGTGTTCACAAGCTGTGCCTGGTACTTCATGGTATGTAGAAAAAACCTTTAAAGCTGTGTCTTTGGATGAATCGCTAGCATCAAATCTTCAGATTTGGATTTGGCTGAATCGAATTGGGGACAGTGATCCAAATCAATGAATCAAATCGCTGTCCCTGATGTGGGCCGAATCTGAATCAATGACAGCCCGCTTTGCACATCCCTAACAATAACCCTTCAGGGCGAATAACCCTTCACTGTCTAGTCAAAAATCTCAAGGCTGAATCAATTCAATCTTTGTAGGTTAGACTAAGCTGCATAGACTGAACCAATAAACAAGTGAACAGACATTCACTTTTGATTCCAGAAATGCAGCCGCATGCCTGCAGTGGCCCAGGCTAAGGCTGGGCAGTGCTAGACCATGCCTCCTTTCTGGGCTGGAGCAGACAGATTGGGCCAGGGTTACCCCACCCACCTTGTGAGGGGTGTAGGGTTTGCAGAGAAGGTGCAAAGCACCACCTGGGATGCTGAGGAATTGTGAATTAACTTGAATCCTGAGAGGTTTTGGACAGAAGTTCAATAAACTGATTTAACCTAAATCAGCTAAGTTTCATATTACATCCATTCAGGTTTATCTTAAACCAGTTTCGGTCATTTGGAAAGTGGTTTATGTACACTGAACTTCTGTTATGCTACAAATTTGAACTGGTTTCCAGTTGCTTATATCAATTTATGTGTAATTTCTGTCCCTAGCCCAGGCGTCTGAATACTATTATCAAATCTCCTCTGTCTTTGCTTCTCCAGTCTTTGCTTCTAAATACCTCTAGAATGTTCAGCCCTTCTTTGTTAATCTTGCTACCCAGGCTCCTAGGCTAGAGACAGACATTTAAAAAGCTTGAGACTGAATTGACTCAATCTTTGTAGGTTAGTCAAACCTGGCTAAGCTAAACCAGTTTGTTATTGCACAGACATCCCCTCTGGACTGAAAAAATTTCAGGCACATGCCTTCAGTGGCTCAGGCTAGAAGCTGGGGGGCACTAGAGCAGTGCTCCCTTTCCTTCCACAAGGCTGGGCTGAGGGGGCATGGCCAGGCCCCAGCAGGACACTCTGATGTTCCCTCTACTCCTGAACAGCCCAGCAGGGGATGTTTATCACCCCATCAACCCATTAAGAAAACAAAGCCTCTCTCCATTAGTTCAAACTCTTCTTAAACAGCTTTTCCAAGGAAGGACATCAAGCTTCCTGTTGATTAGCATGGACTGTAGCCAGCATGTGGTCTGTTAGCTAATGCTGAGGTGTCTGCAAAAAGGCGGGGGGAGGGGGAGGAAATAATCCATGCTTAGCAAGGAGAAGCCAGGCAGATGCTCTGTGCCTGTAAGTCTCTGCCAGGGCTCTGGCCAGGGAGCAAAGAAGAGGAGCCAGCCCTGCTGTGGAGCAGAGAGCCTTGCTTAGCCCAGACAGCATGCCGGGATGCTAGGGGAATCTGTTTATTTTTTAAATCAGCAAGGGGTCTGGGATAGACGTTACATAAACCAGTTTGAGCCAAATTAGTTAAGTGTGATACTACATTCAACCAGGTTTATCTCAAACTGGTTTCAGCCATTTTCAAACTGGTTTATGCACACTGAACATCTCTTCTGTTACAGGTTTAAACCAGTTTCTGATCACTTAAACCAGTTTATGTGTATGCCTGTCTCTAGCCCTAATCATTTGTGTTGCTCTGCACTGGACTCTTTCCAATCTGTCCACATCTTTCTTGAAGGGTCAGGTCCAAAACTGACCACAGTAGTCCAGGTGCAGCCTCAACAGTGCTGAATAGAGTGGAAGAAACACTTTGTTTGATTTGCAAGTGACACTCATATTACTTTATCCCAGGATATACAGCTGGCTTTTCTGCAGTAAGAAGACACTGCATTTTCTGCAATTTATTTTTTTTCAGACGAAGACCCAGAGGGACCTCTGTTC